GTTCGGACTCATTTTTCTCATTTTTATTGTCATATTCCCGACGTTTCGGCCGTTGTACGTTCCGACATTCTTCAGGTGGTTCTCAACAAACGCTTTTGTCCAAGGATACATGGCCCAGTGGATAAAAGCGCTGGTTCAGTAATACGAAAAAAGTGACTTGACACAAAGAGTTATGAGTTCAATACATGGACACAGCACAGGGAACAAAAACTTGGAGAGTTGAGTAACTAAAGTGTTCCTACGTGAATTACTGAGATAATTCATAAAAAGACATGGGATATAGACATTGGGATTATTTCCTTGTCATTGGATCCCTTGGATTAACAATTTAATAATGAAAGATCGTTTCAATGCAAAACGATACCTGGGTATTGTGGCTGGCCAAATGTCGCCGTTTATGGCTCCTGTGCCTCCATCCTCAGTGTTACAAGTAAAAAATGACGGCAGTTTGATTCACTCAAGACAGCAACGAGGGTTCTGTGTTAATGTGATCGACACTTAAACTTAAATTGAACTTAATCTCATTGAGTATCTTCAGTATATAGTAGAAAAGAATATTGGTAAACTGGATCTGCAGTGAAACATTCTAGAAGAATTTCGAGATATCGTAAGAACAGTATGGGTCCCTATTTTGTAAGAGTACTCCAAGGCCATCGGTGATTGCATACCAAGAAGAACTTAAGAGGTTCTACAGGGATAACGGTTCCAAATAAAGTTAATGTATATGCAGAAGCTACATCTTTAAAATATAATAGAAGAATTCTTTAAATAATTGAAGAATTCTTTAAATATACGTTTGTATCAATCTCAAAACTTTTTTCTATGTACCTTTTATGATTTACTTTCTACCATAATCCACGTCTCTACAGAATGTTTTGGAAATTCAGAGAAATTGAGAACCTTAAGAAATGTAATAAACAGTCAAAGAAAAGACAAACAAACATGGACGAATATGCAGAGTGAATGAAAAGTAACTCTTCATTTGAAATTATTTATAATTTATTTATTAACTATGATTTTTACAAGAAATCGACATAAGTGGAAAGCGTTTAGCATGAGTTTTTATTTAAAATTCGATATAAGCACCAGATTTCGCTACCAGCTTCTCGAGCCGGCCAAGAATCATGTCAAATGATTTTACCAGGAACTCTTGTGGTATGGAAGACATAACTTCTTATATTTACCGTTCAACTTCTTCCAAAAATCTTCAATTGGGAAAATAGATTTCCTCCTTTACCAAACACTAAAGAAAAAAAACTACAGGGTGTTAAGTCAAGTCTCCTTGCTAGCCACTTACACATAAAATAGGGAGTTACTTTTCAGTCACCCTGTATAACTTTTGACCTACGATGCTATACTTAATAAATTATTATTTTACCTCGGTATGTGGTTAGGGTTGACAAGGCTATCCTGATTTAACATGAAGTAATTCCGATCTTTACCCAGTCAGTTATGTGCCATGCGTGATACACGCTTAGGCGATCATGTATCTTTCGATACATGACTGACGAGGCAGATATTTTTTCCCGCAGTAGGTTGCCATTTCTTTCTGCGGTAGTCTGTCCTGCTATTTACCCCTAGCTGGAGGGAGAAGAAGAGGATACATACCTTTCCTAAGGGTATTAACACGTAAGTTAATATATATATATATATATATATATATTTTAAGCATTGTGCCCCAAGCAAGGCGTGAAGCCACTAGGATGCAGGGGGTTGCGGAAGATTTGGAGCGAGAGCAGATAAGAGTGATAGGAGAAAGGAAGAGGAGAAGGATAGTGGGTAGATCAAGGTAACTGGAGATCTCGATTGACATTACATTTGAATAGTTGGAGATTATAGCTTTCAGGGAAACAGTAATTGGGGAGGGTGTTCCACTGGCGAGAGGTGCGAGGTATGAAGCTATTGGAGTAGAAGACACGGCTACATTTGAAGGTTTCTACGGTGTAAGGGTGAGAGGTTCAGTTATCAGTCATGTGTGATAGACGCATAGACGATCATGTATCTTTCGATACATGGCTGACGAGGCAAATTTTTTTCACGCAGTAGACCAGTTGCCATCCAAGGCTATAGGACCCGGTCTGTCCTGCTATTTACCCATAGAGGAAAAGACGAGGATTCATACCTTCCCCAACGTAAATGAATGTAATGGAAATCGACTGGAAATCGAACTCGGATCTCCGATTCCTCAATCCGAGCCTCTATCCATTACTCCACTGTGCCTCCTTTTTCCTACATGGATATGTAAAATAAGGAACGAATTGAAGAACGTGGACTGTCAAAAAATTAACCCTCTCCCCCACAACTTGAGACCAGGCAACAGGGATTAATGCTCGACTTAATCTATGAGGAAGATGAACCCATAATCTCTGTAGTTTTTATCCTTTTCTTTTTTAACTCAGTCATGTGCCATGCGTGATACACATTTAGGCGATTATGTATCTTTCAATACATGACTGACGAGGCAGATTTTTTCCCGCAGTAGGTTGCCATTTCTTTCTGCGGTAGACCAGTTGGCATTCAAGGCTATAGAACCGGGTCTATCCTGCTATGGGTAAATAGCTGGGAGGAGAATAAGAGGATTTACCCGTTTCTCAAGGGTATTAGCACGTAAGTGGATGTAATGGATTCGACTGGAATTCGAACTCGGCTCTCCGATTCCTCTATCCATTACTCCACCGTACGTGTCTATTCGATATTCTTCTTTTGTGTCTTGTCTCTTCAGGATCATGACCCTCCACATCTTCTTCCATTTTAACTCTTAATAAGTTATGCATTTTTGGTATTTCTCTTAAACCCTGTTCTACCATCCATTTGTTCAAGCCCATCGAGTATATTACGTGCCGCTTTCCACTGCCCCCTCTTTCCAAAATAACCTCAAAATAGTTGAGATTATTTACACTATATACCTTTGGATTATTTTCCTCACTTTTGTTGTTATTATCACAACGTTTCGACTGTCTTCCTCAGGTGTATATTGATCCGAGTAACCTATAGGAAATTCCGAAGTGAAGCCTTTATTTAATCTACGGGAGTAGACACTTCTCGTTCCATTGTCCATGTCTAGAGATATCTCGTCTAGTTCTGATTTTTAATACTGCTTATTTATTACTCGCTCTGTTTTCACTGAGTCCAAGTACAGACTGTACGGACCAGGAACTGGACTCGCTATTATTATCGCCAAATTCACGAACCAAAGATTTAATCCACTAGGCTTGTTCATGAATGATGAATTCTTCTAACATAGACCAACTGAAACTAACGTTATTACAGAATATTGAATTTGATCATCAATGGTTGTCCTATTCAAAATTTCGACATTAAATACCCTCCCACCAAAAAAAAAAAAATGTTCACACGTCGTAAAATCAAGCAATAAACAAAAAAATGTTTTTGTCAGTAATGTTAGAAAATATTTGGCTATATTGGAGTTATCTCCCTTACAATGGTGACGCCAGGTTGCATTTTTCTTTGCTTTCTTTTTCATTTACATAGCAAAATGGCGTACTGTTCCGAGAAGTTTACGGAACTGAGAAATAAAAATCACAGTGAAAGCAAACTCCGGTTATATTACCTGGAAAAATTTAATTAAAATTCTAGACAAAATGGCGGCATTGGCAAAGTAGTAAGCGTATGTAAAGGTACGATTAATAGTTATGTTCTGCAGCAGGTTAAAAATATTTATATATTTGGCTTTTAATAAGCGAAAGATTTCAAAATGAATAAACCATAACTATTGAAATAATCAGGACGTCGAAGGCGGAGTTATTGATTAACATTCGATAAATTTCACTCTGTTGTCTAATTTGTGTGATCAAAGTAGGAGGGGTGATTTCCGATTTATTCGAAATTTTGCTAACAGATAGATTAAAGTGTCTGAACATAGATAGATTGAAGGCTTTGAACATAGATAGATAGATAGATAGATAGATAGATAGATAGATAGATAGATAGATAGATTGAAGGACATGAGCAAAGAGAGAGAACTATGAATAGATAGAGAGAGAGAGAGATTGAAGAACATGAGCAGAGAGAGAGAACTATGAATAGATAGGTAGATAGATAGATAGAGAGAAATTGAAGGACATGACCAAAGAGAAAAAACTATGAATAGAGAGAGAGAGAGAGAAAGAGAGATTGAAGGACATGAGCAAAGAGGGAGAACTATGAATAGATAGACAGAGAGAGAGAGAGAGAGTTTGAAGGGCATGAGCAAAGAGAGAAAACTATGAATAGATAGATAGATAGATAGATAGAGAGAGAGAGAGAGAGAGAGAGATTGAAGGACATGAGCAAGGAGGGAGAACTATGAATAGATAGATAGATAGATAGATAGATAGATAGATAGATAGATTCAAGGACATGAGCAAAGAGAGACAGCTATGAATATATATATATATATATATACAGAGAGATAGATAGATAAATAGATATGAACAGACTGAGATAGATAGATAGATAGATAGATAGATAGATAGATATGAACAGGCTGAGATAGATAGATAGATAGATAGATAGATAGATAGATAGATAGATAGATAGATAGATAGAAGAAAAGAATAACGGTATAAGGAAGATAAACATCTTAGTGATACAATGATTAAGAATCGAGTCTTGCTAACCTCGTTTATGAGTTCGATGCGCGTAAGGAGACCCACATTTGCAGCCTTGTGCCAGACTAAATCAAAATAAATATAACAAACTGTGTGTGTGTGTATCTGTGTGTGTGTGTGAGAGAGAGAAAATGGGAGAGAGATTCCTCTCTCTCCGCACACATACTTACACAAAAAAAATGAAAATGGTTCAAACTTCCATTCAGATATTACGTCCCTGTCATATCTGAAGAACGTTCAGTGCTGCTGCTGCCGCTATAAAAGACTGTCACTCAAATTCAACACCTTAAGGATTCTCCACCGATATGCTTCCTACATTTTACCGACATATGGTCTTAATACTACCAACTGATACTGTCTCATAGGTAGCCATATCTCCACGCTTAAAACATACACAAGCAAAGGCATCGTACACGGGAAGCCTTGTTACAGAAGAATGTGACAAGAGAGATAATGTTACGCTAAGTACAATTATTAAGTGACACGACATGAGACAGAAAAGAGTGAGTGGACAGCTATTTCATTATTATTATTATTATTATTATTATTATTATTATTATTATTATTATTAACTACAGCAACAAAAAAAAGCAAAGATTGCAATATATGCTATATAAAAGTGGTTCTTAATATGAAGGACACGCTATCCTCAAGTCTGGTATAAGGCAAATATTTTTAACCCTTTGCGTTCCTGAACAATTTTAACCCTTCTACCTGGCCTTCTGAGTCAAAATTCGCAAATAAATGGTATGTAATATTTCACGGTAGATAGAAAAATAGCTACAAGTGTTAAACACACCGTTCAACCGATAACTGGGCATTAAGTCATTTTTCTCTGCCACCGGTAAAGCGATGGTCAAGGTTAAAAGGGTTAATCATTTCAACGCAAGTAAGGCGATAATGCCACTAAGACGCAAGGGACAACTGGGAGTGAAAGAGAAAAATGAAAGAATTTAAAAGAAAACGGTAACCCAATCCCAAACAGGAAACAAAGGATAAAAGACACGGGAGGAGTGTGAACCGGATGACAGGCGAACCTATTTACACCTATTGAGGAAAAATAAATAGTAAATAAAATTTCAGATTTGAGACGTTAATTGTGTACAATTGAAGCAGATTTCAAAAGGAATCAGAAGACCAGTCCTTAACAGGAAACAAGCGATAAACCACTACTCCTGTTCAGTAGACCGGGGAGAAGTTTGAACCGGACGATAGGCGAACCTATCTACTCCTATTGAGGAAAAATGAATAAATAGTTGATTAAATTTTAGAGTTTAAGCGCAGATGTTAGAAGTATAGAGAGGAAGTAGACTTTAGAATGAACCGGAAGCCTAATCCTAAACAAGAAACAAGGGATAAATTTCTACTCCTGTACAAATGAGCGGGGAGGAGTGTGAACCGGGTTATAGGAAAATCTATTTATTCCTATTATCGAAATTAGCATAAAAATTAAGAGGACAAGTACAAGTGTATCATTCGTAATTTGAAGCTAACTGAGAAAAAAGTGACAAGCGTTTTTTTTAGTTATTCACACTATAAAAAGAGCTCAAGGAATTGTTACTGAATGAGCTTTACATATCGGTTGCCACGTGATTTGAAGAGGTTAAGTTTGTAGTAACCAGGGAACCATCCACTCGGGAGTTTTTTTTCTTGGGAAGAAGCTGTCCGAATGGAAGTTAATTCTCAGCAATTGAATCGCTATACTTGGCAGGCTTCGTCGACCTTTTTCCGGTAAGCTCGAACCTATCTGGACGTTCTTTTCTTGCGGTCTTGTCTCACCCCTAACCTTTAGGGAATGAAGACAATAATTACAACCGTCGATGCTTGTAGGAAAGCAAGGGATCGGAAGAGATTTCCACAGACGAAAATTGCACGAGAATAAACTATCAGAATAGAACTTACGGTTCTAGCTCTCTAGTTCAACAGTAAATCGAGGTGACTTAGTTGGCAATCTCGTAGCACGCTTAAAGTCATGGAGTAGAGATACCAAGGAGGAAAGCTCATCAGAGCAATTGCCATCGAAATATTTTGTAGAAAAATCACAGGGATTTTATTTAATTATTTCTTCAAGGTTGTTAAACGGCCAATGTAATTTCTTGTCTAAGTGTAGCATTTCATAAAATATGGCTTTAAAAAAAGACTTAACACCTGGAGCCCGCCCACATAGTTAGCCAATCAATTGATGTCTGAGGGATTCCTGAAAATAAAAAAGCAAAATTAAAAAAATAAGGACATAAACATATTTTAAAATTAACTGAAAAAATAAAAATAAAAACAAGAACTAGCGCATGGTTGACCTTAAATATGTTTTAATCATTTCAACGCAAGTAAGGCGATAATGCCACTAAGGCGCAAGGGGTTACTGAGAGGGGACGAGAATGAGGGAAGAGAATAGACAATAAGAAAAATGATTAAAGAAGACAAAAGGTGGCAATTCATTTTTTTTTTTTTTATCAATTCACCCCAATCAAAGTAATAATGCCACTAAGACGCAAGGGACAACTGGGAGTGAAAGAGAAAATGAAAGAACGTAGAAGAAACCGAAAACCTAGTTTTAAAAAGGAAACAAGGTATAAACATCTGTTTAAAAGACCCGGAAGGAGTGTGACCTGGATGATAGACGAAGATATGTACTCTTATTGAGGAAAAATAAACAGTTAATTAAAGTTCAGAGTTTACGGGGAGATTTTAGAAGTATGGAGATGAAGTAAAGTTTAGAAAGAACTGGAAAAAGAAAGAAAAACTTTAGTGAGAAGAAAGGACAATAACTGTAATGTTTTAGGAAGACAAAAGATGGCGATTCTTTTTTAGTTAATTCACCCTAAGCAAGGCTATAATACCACTAAGACGCAAGGTGCTACTGGGAGAGAAAGAGAATGTGATGACTTTAGAAGGAATCGTAAATCCAATCCTAAACAGGAAACAAGGGATAAACCTCTACTCCTGTTCAAAAGACCGATGAGGGCGGTGAACCGATTGATAGGCAAACCCATTTACTCCTATTGGAGGAAAATAAATAAATAAAAAATAAAAATTAAAAATTAAATAGGAAATAAAATTTCAGAGTTTAGATAGAGATGGTAGAAGTATAGAGTTAAAGTAGACTTTACAATGAACCGGAAACCCAATCTTAAACAGCAAACAAAGGATAGACCTCCACTTATGTTCAAAAAACGTTGCGTTTAAATTGTTGAAGATTGCGGGGGTCAAGAAATCAATAATTCAGAAGGGAGTTCCACAGGTGAGAAGTGCGAGAAAAAAAACTGTTTTAATAAAACTTAAATCTAGCTATTTCAAGAGTAAAACGATGGGATCTAATTGCCAATCTAGTAGTACGCTTCAATTCATGTTGTCGATGTACCAAGGAGGTGAAGTCATTTGAACAACTGCCATGAAAAAATTTATAGAAAAGACAGGGGTAAGCCACGTCACAGCGGTGAAATAGTGACAGAAGCCGAGATGCCAGTTCTAGACCGATAACATCACAGACCCTTCTTTGGATTTTGTCGAGAATCTCTAAATATATATAACAAGAGCATCGGACCATATATGGCAGCAATATTCACTTCTCGGACGATTTATAAATGTGCAAGTTTCTGGCGAGAAAATCTGTCTGACATACACAGTGACCCAACCTACTTAGCAGTTGGCCTAGCAATTGATTCAATATAATTTCTCTACTTCATGTCAGTAGTAAACGTGAATTCAAAAAGACGTAAGGAGTTGCTCTCCTATAAGTTATCATCAGGCTCGCTGATGGAGAGCAAAGATGGCTCTCTATGACGATGAGAGCATAGGCGTTTGCTTTTGGAGGCGTCAAAATTTACAAACCATTCCTTGCTCCAGTTAACAACTGATAGGAGGCCTATCAGGCTTATTTTTTGTAATTTCGTGACAGAGACATGTACAATATCTGATATCTGAAAAAGTTAAAATTAGCATGAAAATTAAAAGATAAACAATTACTAGGACATCATGCGTAATTTAAAGCTTTTTGAGAAAAATGTGACAAGCGTTTTTTTTTGTTTTTTTTTTTTTTTTTTTTTACAATTGTTCACACAGTAAAAGGCCCTCAAGGAATTGTTACTCGCTGAGCTTTACCTATCGACTGCCCCGAGACTTGAAGAGGTTAAGATTATAGTGACCAGGGAACCATCCACTTGGGAGTCTGTTTCTTGGGAAGAAGCTGTCCGAATAGAAGTTAATTCTCAGCAATTGAATCGCTATACTTGGCAGGCTTCGTCAACCCTTTTCCAGTAAGCTAGAACCTATCTGGACGTCCTTTTCTTGCGGTCTTGTCTCACCCCTAACATTTAAGGAATGAAGACAATAATTACAACCGTCGATGATTGGTAGGGAAGCAAGGGATTGGAAAAGAATTCCGCAGACGAGAATTGCACGAGAAGAAACTATCAGAATAGAACTTACGGTTCTAGCGTTTTTTTTTTTGAATGAATTTTTCTTATTAGTTCTTTTTTTTTAACCTTTGATTTTATCCTAATTTAAATCTACTTGTTTAAAGCCTAATATGAATAGATGCAAGAAAGATTTTGAAATCTCGAAGATGGGCAAGTCTTAAGCAAAGCGATTTTGTAAATAGGTTATCTTTTCTTTCTTTTTTTTTTTTTCGTTTTAATTTGCTTTTCGGATTTGACTTCCGGTTCTTATTAACGTGAACGAAAATCAGAAACTCTCTTACAGTTGTAGTACAAATAGTGGTACTAAATTCTTCGGTGACTCACATCTTCGAGTGGGCCATCTTTGCAGACCAAGTGAAGGAATGTCGTTTTCAATTTTCAAACACTCTTGCTATTCTTCAAAAGCATTGCGGTCCGTATTGTCTCATTGCCTTCGTCCATTTTCCCGTTTTATTCCATTCTCTTTGTCGTGGTCTTTGCGGGCCATTAGGCGTATACAAATTAATTCACCTGAATGTTCCACAGAGCTCTCAGGCAAGATCTTAACCCATTACGTGCCATGGAGCCTCATTTGGGAATCTGTTAAAATTAAACTCACTACATATTATTCCTTGTATTTACATTGAATTTCTTACATACATTGCATTTGCAGAGGTATATTTTACAACACTTAGCCTTTAAAGTTTTTATTATTAGACACTTAATAATAAGTATGAAGACACTTTATGTCGTAATTTTACATTTCACGAGAAGAAAAATAATGACTATTTTGAAAAGTATTTTTTATTATTTCTAATCAATATTATTTTTTGATGTTTTATGTGTTATCTATCTATCTATCTATCTATCCCAGTTTCTATCTATCTATCTATCTATCTATCTATCTATCTATCTATCTATCTTCCCTGCATTTTGTTATAATCTTCAATCGGCGGCAACGACAAGATGTAAACGATTTATTCTGTAGGGCAATTTATTGTTATTATTATTATTATTATTATTATTATTATTATTATTATTTCTTTGATTTCTGGCGTTTACACATTTCTTTCCGTGTCCCGCCCAGAGACCTAAGGTTAGAAACGACATCATGACATTTTCCACTGACAAGAAAAATATTTTACATAGATAAAGTCCTTCGTAAAGTGTGGGATGTACTTGTGAGAACAATTTTTTGTATCTTATTGAGGCATGGACTTCCAGGAATCCCTTCAGTTAGTCTACTGGAATCTTTTCCAACCAATCCGAGGGCTCCAACTACAATAGGGATTGTTGATGTTCCCATGCGCCACATTTTTGAGATTTCATTATTATTATTATTATTATTATTATTATTATTATTGTACGACCCGTAAAAATGACGAAAAGATGCGCACTGCTGGTGCGGGTGTTAATAAAACTGCTCGAAATATAATCAAACAGAAAAAATATACTAATAATAAATATATATTTTGTCCCCCAAATTGTTGTACAACGAACGCTGATGAAAAAATCTAAATCTATTAATATATATATATATATATCTATATCTATATATATATATACATGGTATCCATGAAGTTCGTGTGCACTAAAAAAGTTATATCTTTAAAGTACACACGAACTTTATGGACACACACACACACACACACACACACACACACACACACACACACACACACTATATCTATATATATATATATATATATATATATATATATATTCCAATAAAAACATTTTACATCGCTACACAAAACTTTCATGTTTCGAAGTATAATCGTTCCTCTTCGTGCGATGGTAGATAACATATAAAAATGTTTTATTTTTTAAATTGGAAAGCAAATCGTTACCTCTTTTGAAATTTAGAAAGTGAGTAGCCTAAGGTCAGTATTAAAATTATACTTGTGGGCGGGTCTGGATTAACCAATTAAAAGTCAGATCTACGCTAAAATAGAAAAATGAAAAATAAGGTCAGAGGATGGAAGGAGGTGGATTATTAATTCATGTCTTGATAAATTGACACTCTAGACAAGTTAGCGGTGAACAATATTGTAGTCAAGTACAGAATTCAGATTTGATGAAGTAGACATAGAGTTACCTTGAACAAAAAATTATTTCTTAGAATTTTTCAAATTTTTTTTATACTACGGAAACTTCTTAAAGGGACCGAGTTGGCAACGTTAAAAAAAAGAATTATTTTATGGAACTTTAATAAACGATGCTAATTATATTGAATGAGCTGTAAAACAAGGCAATATTAAATTTGAAAAAATTAAATGAAAATTGTGTCGACTATTATATACTTATAAAATAATGGCTATATGATTGTAATGCGTAAAATATTTAAGAAAAATTCTTTTAAATATATTTTAAGGTAAAATTTAAATAATGCCGACATAATACAGTTAATTCATTTCTTTGGTTTATCTGAACATTATTTTTAGGAAACATTATAATATGCAGCTTTTCTTGTAAACACAAGGGACATAGGTCATATAAGGATTTACAGATTCTCGTTTTTTTTAATAATCTGTAAATCCATACATGACCCATGTCCCTTGTGTTTTTAAAAAATTTAGAATAAAAAGATTTCTTTTGAAATTTATTTCTTTATAAAATGAGAAATAATTTTTTTTATAAAAGGTAAATAATAAATATCGTTTTGTACTTGGTTCACATATTTTCATAATCTGATAAATAAACTTTAACGAGGGAATCAAAAGTGTATACAGTAATATCGGTGTCAAAGGAATAACTGTATTTTGGTAGGTACTAAGAATAAACATTGTTGAAGCTTTAATTCTAGTTTTAATTTGGAACTGCTAGAGTAAATATAATATTTCCAATAAGCAAAATACTTTTGAAAGCAAATTGATTGGAATTTTCTATTATTATAATTAAAGTTGTAAAAAATCGTTCATATTGACAAATCTGTCAACACCACTTAATTCTCTTTATTAAAAATATATTACAAAAATAAAATATACTTTTCTGAAATTTTATTTCAGGAAGATTAACTGATTAAATTTCTGTTATAATATTGGGGCCGAAGAGTTATCCTTTTTTACGCTATTTATATTTGAACTATTCTCCCCATCTTTGTTGTTGGCCGTTGTACCTTTCGGTCGCACCGTGTTGCTGTACAAATATTGCTGGACCATATGAAATCATTAAGCTCCGATCCAGTTCAAAATGAATGAAGAAAATAATAACCTAGCCTTCCTGGATGTACTAATAACTTGCACAGAGAATGGGTTCAAAACATTCGTATATCACAAGACATGATTCCCCGAACAATACCACGGCTTCAGTTCCTACCATCCGTGCGGGATGAAGAAAAGGATCGTTCGTTACCTACAAAAACGGACAAAAATCATAAGTGGCAATTGAAAGCCCTACCAAGAAGAAATGATCAACATCAAACGTACCCTTCAGAATGATAACTACCCGGCAAAAATGACATCAGCGTTTAGAGGTGGGAACAAAAGAAACGAGGAGAAAGACCATAAAGTTGCTATTGGACAATATTCAGCCGTTCCACTTGTTATGGGAACTTACCTATAACGATAATGGACTCTACCTGACACTATAAATACTGCGCCTCTCAAGAGGCATAATGAATGAAAGGTGTAACCAGCATCAGGTCATGACTGTTGAACTCTCTGCTTTGGCAGAGAGGAACCCGGATGAAGCTTTGCCGAAGGGCAGGGTTTCGTCCGGGGAGGTAGACAGGCCCTGAACCCGTCTAGGCGGATTCAAAGGGTATATTTTTGTCCGAGCCTACGGGCTCGGGAAACCCACGTTAAACTCGGCCTTGTGCCACATGCAACTCTCGTGGGGGGTGGCTAGATACCGAATGGATGGTGTAACGAGCCGAGACAATATTAGTTCACTCTAAACCAGACGGACAGTCATTACTAACTTACCTTCAACTTCTTGTACTATATTTCTGTTGTAATAGATCTTTGTTATTCTACTCTTGTGTTCATGTTGTTCTTCCTTGGTTCTAACCTTGGACCATAATTGTGGTGCGAGGATATTGGACCATAACACTTCTCTACGGAGAAATCTCTACCTAGTAAAAACTAACACGGGGAAAACATAAAACAAGAATTGCATGTACTCGATTCCTTGCAGTTGTGGCAAAGAATATAAAGTTGAAACGATCGGCAACCAAAAAGTAAGCCTGGAAGAACATCGAAAAGCTGTGACGAGGAGTGAGAGAATGAAATCTGGCATGGCTGATCATGTATGGAGGGAAAGGGATACTCATCAGCCCCTGTCGAATGAAGTGAGAATACTAGACAAGACTGGAGATTTAGACGCCTGAAAGTATCTGCGAGTATTCTATAAGCTATGAGGAACTCCTTAGTAGGCCTAGCATATAAGTAAATAAAATATGGATACTTAGTGGACAATGGCTGATAGGATGAAAGCGTTGGTTCAGGAATTTTGTGACATAGTGGTACTTGGCAGTGTGTACTTGGACTCAGTGGAAACGGGCGAGCAATAACCGAACAATGCTAAAATAAGATCTAGACGAGATATCCCGAGACATGGGCAATGTAACGAGAACGCTCTTCCTCCGTACATTAAATAAAAGGTTTAGTTCAGAATTCCCTACAGATAACCTGATCGATATACACCTGATAAACGTAACGCTGGAAAAGTTGTGATAACAACAACAAAGATGAGGATAACAGTCCGAATATAAATAGTGTAAATAATAATTGATTTAGAATTTAATTGATCTGAATTAAAGCAAATATTACTTACTTTTAGTTTAAGAAAAGCATTTTTAACACAGAGGTCGGTTTTCTTCTGACGTGATGTGTAATTTATTGACATCCTGATGTTTAGGAAACTGATGTAAGGGGACCATAACTGAAAAAAATTACTCGACGAATACAACGTAAACACCAATTTTATATAATTTTTAACTACTTATTAATCTTTAAAATTAAAAAAATATCCTAAGCAATCTAATATTTTATGGAATTTTAGGTTCTTTGGCATCATAAACTTACTTACGACGATGCTTGTTGAGAAAATGTAAGAAAATTATCAATAAATTTTAAATTTATTATAGGTTTGTTTTGGGTTGGTTTATTTTGTTTTACGGTATATCAACCTCAATGGGTTATTTAATGTCGACAAGAATTTTATTGCTGGTAATATTTTTTTTTTCAAAAATGTATTTCTGCTAATATTCTTTTTCAGAAGTGTATTGTTCGTAATATTTTTTTTTCAACAATGTATTATAATAATTTTTTTCCTCAATTTTGTTACAATAATATATTGCTGGTTTTAAAACCCATTTTTACACCTTTTGATCTCAGTTTGGGGCGTAACTATTTTCCCATAGCTGGGGCCCTAACAGGTGCTACCACACCGGTCAGGGTGAACCTTGAAACACCAGCAATGAAGAGGGGGTCTCGCGCTCCTCAAAACCTCCTGATCAGAGGCCTTGCTGTTGGACGTAGTTTATCGTCTAACCCAGGACGCGGATGTAGTTTATCATCTTACCCAGGATGGTTTATTATAGATACCTCTCTCATTTTCTGATAATATTGTATATGGACATCCGTATTTACAAAAATCGACATCTTTATACATACATCCCCACCAAAAAAAACATTTTAACATAAAGTGTCGTTGAATAGTAGTGGATTTTTCCTTTTATGATTAGTAAATACAGTTTTAATTTAATAGCAATATAAATTACTCTCTAAACATGAATAGATAATTGTAAAAAGTTTATAAACATTTTTAAGTAAAAATTAAAAATATTTACTCGAACAGTTCGTGTAAAAATCCATTATTCATTGTAAATTCTTTTTTCTTAGGAGATATATATATATATATATATATATATATATATATATATATTATGAAATGGACAAAGTCTGACAATTATTTTAAGACATTTTCTATGTTTATACGTTCATTTTATAGATACAAATATTTAAGTAAATGCTCTGTTTATAATAAACAGTATTAACGACATTTACCGGCCTGAATATGCGAGAATTTTTCAGAGAAAATATGCGTCCTCCGACAGGAATCGAACCTGTATCCTATACAGCATCGTCATATAGCCTGATGTGCTTTTACCGATTTATCTACAGAGGAGCGTTTTGGTTAGCAAGGTTGATTTTACTGTTTCTAAGCTACAATTCTCCATGATTTTCTCTCGTACATTTATATCTGCTCGATGTGTATCCATATGTAAACAAATGACGTCACACATTATGAAATGGACAACGTCCGACAATTATTTTTTAAGACATTTTTTTTATGTTTATACGTTCATTTTATAGATAAATACTATGTTTATAATAAACAGTATTAACAACATTTACTGGTCTGAATGTCCGAGAAATTGTCATAGAAAATATGCGTCCTCCGAGAGGAATCGAAGGTGTATCCTATACTGAACCGTCATATAGCCTGATGTGCTTTACCGATTGAGCCACAGAGGAGTGTTTCGGTTATCAAGATCGATTTTACTGTTTTTCAGGCTATATGACGGTTCCGTATAGGATACAGGTTCGATTCCTCTCGGAGGACGGATATTTATATTATTCATATAGGGCGTCCTGGGTAAGACGATAAACTACATCCAACAACAAAGCCTCTGATCAGAATGTTCTGAGAAGCGAGGAACCACCTGTTAGTAACTGGTGTTCCCATGTCCACCCTGATCCTGGGTGGTAGCACTTGTTAGGGTCCCACTTATGGGTAAATAGTTACTCCTAAACTCGGGTCAAAACACTATGAAAGAATAAAAATAGGTTTTAATATCAACAAGAAATTTTTTGAGGAAAAATTATTGCCAGCACTACAATTTTGAAGAAAAATATATTACTAGCAATATATTTTGGGAAAAATATTAGCAGCAGTAAAAATCTTGTTGGCATTAAATAATTCATTGAGGTTGATATGCCGTAAAACAAACCAAACGAAACCTTATTCATATAGGCAAATGAAAGCTTTTCTACTTAAAACGTGTCTTAGTTTTATTGCATTTTGTTATATTATGATTCAAGGTAGATTTTATACAACTTGGGGTCATGTTTCACCCTCAAAATTTGATGATTTAAATTCTTCAGAACATGACTTTGTAAAAAATATTAACATGAATTGAGGCCAAAAAGAATTTCTGGAAAGTTCATAAACTTAAATGAATGTGGTGGGGGTAACAGATGTAAAAAAAAAAAAATTACAAGGATTTTCTAAAAAAAGAAATTAAAAAAAATAATTGCCTTCATTTCTGAATAAGTTCTGAATGTTTCGTTAAATACCCGACCATTATAGGATTTTTGCAAGAATTTCAAAATCATTGGTTTTCACCGCAAAAAAAAAAAAACGATTAAATTTCCCGTGTAAATTTAACGCCCCATATTAATGCAAGGAAACAAAAACAAAACAAGATTTTTAACCAAAATTTCCAAATGTGAAATAAAGGATGAAAAAAAAAAATTTTTTTACATTAAAAAAAAAAATTCTTTGAACGTTCGTCTTAATGCTAACAAATATTACGACGAGAAATTTTTATTTTTAAGTTTTGGGGCCATTTTTGCATCATATAACCGGATTTAGATGAAGAAAGAACCTAGGCTATTCCATTTGTGAGGTCACTTCACATCCCCCATTCTCACGGGCAGAGGAAAATGGAAGCCAAGAATGATGACAGGTGTTTAAAATTACTGAAAGGTTGCTTCGAATCTACAATGTGTTATGACAGCATGTATAAGAAAGGCCGATGAAAGTATAAAAAATACTAGGTGTCCATAAAGTTCGTGTGCACTTTAAAAAATTATAACTTTATTTGTATTTGCGATAGAAATAATCTGTAAAAAATGTTATCAAGTTTAATGTACCTAGTTTTAAGTAGAGCTAAAATAACTAATGTGATTTCAGGCATTACTGTAAATCATTTGGCAAATATTTTCCGTGAACTGCAAAATCGTATTACCCTTTGTATTGCTAATAATGGAGGACATGTGGGAACTTAAATAAAATTTCAATAAAAGTTTTTAAAAATATAGATTTACTTCTTTCTAATCCTTTTTACAAATTATTTCTATCGCAAATACAAATAAAGTTATAAATTTTTAAAAGTGCACACGGACTTTATGGACATCCTGTATTATGCACTTTGTCTGGAGCACACCGCCCCCCAGGTTGTGGCCCGAGGCTTCAACCTGCTAAGCCTATAGGTAATTCCGGCATTGTCTCCTTTTTTTTTTAGCGAATTTTAAGTGACAGTGTTAGTTATATATATAGAAATATCATCGTATTTTTCCTAGATTAAATTCGCTATTAAAAAAATGACATTAAAAGGGATTTCATTGATAACAAAACGGTATTTACTTTCCTCTTTCTTAAATATGAATTATCGTTTTTGAATTTAACTTAAATTATCTAATATTCAAATTTGTAAAACATCTTTTTTTTTAATGCACCTATGCTGTAAGAAGAGTTTCTAAA